ACAAGTTCCATCAGCCTTTCAAACGTTGCTGGAGCATTGCACAACCCAAACGGCATTACTTTGAATTGCCACAGACCCTTTCCCGTCGAGAACGCAGTTTTCTCCTTGTCCTTAGGGTCAATTTCAACTTGCCAGTAGCCACTTTTTAGATCCAGCGTGCTAAACCATTTTACTCCTGTAAGCATGTCCAGCGTGTCATCAATTCTTGGCAAGGGATAGCTGTCCTTCTTTGTAACGTCGTTCAGACGGCGGTAATCAACACAGAACCGCATGCTGCCATCCTTCTTTTTCACCAGCACCACTGGTGAACACCATGGACTAGAGGAAGGTTCAATAACACCATCCTCCACCATTCCTTCAATCATGGTTTCCACTTCCTTTTCACGTGCTACCGGCAATCTTCTTGGCCGCTGACGGATAGGCAATTCCTCCCCTGTGTTTATTTTGTGTTGAACTAGGCCAGTCTTTCCTATGTCAGCATCATTTGATGAGAATACATCGGCGTACTTGAGTAACAACTTCTTCGCCTTGACCAATTCGTTCGGGGACAGAACACTGCGACAGTCTTCCACAAGTGTGGTCACTCTCGTTTCTAAATCCTTGCTGGGGGTCCCACTCGATATATATTGGCACTGACGTAACCAATCCACTTCCTCACAAGTACCAACCAGTGTGCCTTTTTCTATAATCTGTTCCCGGTCGCAAAGGTTCAGCACACGTACTCCTGAGATGTCAGTGGTCCTGACCTTTATTCCAGCCGTTCGCCTTCATAACAGCCTCGAACTGGATTTTGTAGGCTGACCAGGAAGAAGTCCCGTCGAATGGTGGCACCTTGAACCCACGTAGCGAAGGTGTAGTAGCTACTACGGGAACTGAAGTTCCCTCGCCAAGTTTGAGTTCGTCAAGTGATTTCCTCATGTCAGCCATTACGTTGTCAACCCGATTGTTCACTAGGTCAATTCGGGTTTCAGCTTCCGACAGGCGGTTTTCATGTTGAGCAACCTTATCTTTCACCTCCCTTATCTCTTTCCCGAAGGTAGCGTGAAGGTCCTTCATGAGAAGCATCTGTTCCTCCTGTCGGCGGGCCTGTTCCTCTTGTCCGCTCTGCAGCTGCTCTTTCAACTGACGGACCTGTTCCACCTGCTGACGAGCCTGTTCCTGCAGCATCACCATCAGAGCACCTAAATCGGGTGCTGCAGATGGAGGAGCTACTGACGGGCCTGCAGCCGGCGGCTGGCCCTCCGACGTCAGCGGCGTTGCACCACCAAATCTTCTTTGGTCCGTCTCCTGCTGGCGTTGATTTCGGGTACGGACACCCTCCGTTTCCTCCTTAGGTAAAATCGGCATGATTTTATCCCACTTCTGACACCAATTGTTACGAGCTTGAGGTTCGTGACAATAAAAATTGCCGATAAAATTACCTAAATTAACACTTTAATTTACTTTACACAATTAGAGTTAAAACACTAATAATTTAAACACACTAATTCACTTAATTCCACTCCGAAGCTTCGCTTGTTTCGCCCAAATCAACACTGCCTCGATCGCATCTTGCAGCGCCTATATATTTGAATTAGCAAAGAAATATCCAGAATGTTCAAGTAAACACGCGGAAGGTACCGAGCGTTCGAGTTTCGACTAGGCGCTGTCAGTTGAGCTATTTGTGATGTCATTTTCTCAATGCTCCCCTCGCTCTCGTTCCTGACACTAGATGGCGCTAGTTGACTTATTCATGCATCAGTATATTTAAATAACTTTTTTACGAATAAAGGTCCGTTTATATCTACAGACATTGAGCGTGCCAGACACATGTCAACCAAATAAATATTTTTCTATTCAGCATTTACTAACCGGCACAGGCCGTGCCTGGTCAGTATTCGCGGAAAAAATATTTCGCCTGCGCGATTCATGTCTGTATATGCCTGTGGCTACCTACCGGCCAGTGTGAATAGAATATCGAAACCGTGCTGACGTTTTATTTTTGCCATGTATAACAAAAAGCTAATAGAAATTATTAAACAAAGACATTTAAGTAGTAATAGTAATAGACCGGACATCAGCAACAAAATTGCCGTCTGTAACTTTTGTCCTATAGGATATATCTTCGATTTTTGTCATTTATTCTTAGTGAGATCGTCAAAAGGTCAAGACGCAATCGTTTCGTAAATTTAAAAATTATTTTTAAAGAAAATATGCCCTGTTGTGCATTAAGATATTATAAGCCACGATATGGAGCAAAAAATGAACGTGATTTCGGTTTATTACCTTAATTACAATGTATTCTTACAAAATAATCTTTTAATTTTAATATATCTAGTTGATTTTTCTAGAACATTTATTATTTTGTCATAAGCGCCCTCTGTTATCCAGTAGTGTCACTATTTATTTACAAATGTGTTAGTGATTTACGATTGGCGTTATCGATAAAAATACAGAATACCGATTTAATCATCTTCAATATTTAAGGAGATGAAACGTCAACGATACTGTACCCATACTAACAAAGATGAGTAGAATATACCAACTATGATAAGTAGCTTACTTTATGTGGAGAAAGGGTGGGAAAATATTTGTTTACACATGTTGATGAGATTTTCGGTGTTGCTTGCTGTGTTTTTACACACCGGGCTTCATTGTCTAGTGGTTTTCCAAGACGAAGCCTTATAGATCCTGGCTAACGCTGATAGGGGAGGGCTACAGCTTTGTTACGTTAAAAACAATTTACATTGTTAAAGATATAAGATGCAAGAAGTTGTAGGTTAAGCGTGAGTTAGAAAATAAGGTAAAAACCTAAAGAAACGGTTTTTTTTATTGACGTGGGTCTATAAGTATTGCATCTGATTAAATTGACATAATAATATAAAATTTACAAACTGCTTATAAACATATGTTATTAAAACCTTTTTCTTATAGAGTTCTATGAACCGGCATTATAATTATGGTTTTTGTATAAGCACGAATCTGGTTATTTTAGATTTCCGTCAGTTAATACCGCAGAACGTGAAAAGTGGATACGGTTTGTCCAAATAGAGCGCAGAGAAAAAAATTGGCTTCCATCTGCTATACCAAAATTATGCTCAAAGCACTTTAAAAGCGAAGATATGTACTGCGAAAAGATTGGTAGTACAGTTTAAAAAAAAGGATCATTTCCTCGTTTTGCAAGTGAAGTACTCGTAAGTTGTATGTTTTTTTATAGCGGTACAGCCAAGCAAAGCTGAACATTTGCCTATTAGTCTTAACCACAGATTTTATTTTATTTTATCTTTACATCACCTTTTTATAATTTCAGAATACTGAAACAAATGCGGAAGCTACCAGAGTTTACACCAATTAGTGTTATATCAAACTCTGAGTCAATATTTGATAGTCCGTGAAAAATTGCATTTAAGTTGCAAGTTCGCAATCTACAAAAACAAAAAATACGCCATAAGGCTAAAATTAAAAAACTAGACCAACAAAATAAATATTTCAAACGGAAAATATTAAACTTAAGAGATTTAGTTAAACATTTAGAAAAGAAGTTTGATATTAAACAAAATATGGTTAATTCCTTAAATGCTACAGTAGAAACGCATGCCGTGTATAATAGACTCAATATGAAATCGACGAAGTTTTTTTCCTGTTTTTTTTTGTTTCTTTTTTACGCTGTTATTATTATTTTTTTTTGAAAAATTATTTTTTTTACAAAAATTTTTAACATTAAGATATGATATAGTTTTTTTTTGTTTTTTTATATATATATATATATATATATATATATATATATATATATATACAATCTCTTTGTTATTAAAGAATATAAATACCTTTATGATTTAACTGATAAAAATACAGTGATAACCAGAAAAAGGATCAGACGTGGAACTAAGAGTAAATAGGAATAAAACTTAAAAATAATGGTAAGCACATATTATATTTTAATATTATATAATTAGACAGCTATAATAGTTTAACGATCCTTCTGAACAGTCGAAAAACCTTGAGAAATTCTCTCTGACATTGAATGCGGCAGCCTGGTAATTACCGCCCTGTCTAGGTATATTTAATAAAGAATGTGATGATGTGTTTTTTTCATTATTCAAATGTCACGGGATCTTATATAATCACGTAAGATACACGTTGTCATAACAACATTGTCATCATTATCACTCAGTCAGAAGTTGTATTCTTCTGTTATAGAGACGAAATTTTTTAATTGCCAAATGCAATTTCGACAACTTTTCTTGCACGGGATAGTCTACCATTGAATGTGTATTTGCTTTGGTCACATAATTAAGTTTTAGGATACGGTCTCATTAAGTATGTTCTAATAGGGTACGCTTCATCTCCTGTGATAACATATGGCGCGGTCATATCTGTGTCAGGTAAATATGTGCTTTTCGGGACGTTAAATGTGTTTAAAATAAATGCTTTTCCAATGTTTTAATTAGTAAACTTTTCGTCACTATTTTTCCCATAATCAAAAATATCGACACATATGAACTTGTATTCAACGTTCACAATCGCCATCAAGACAATCGTTTGAAAAAGTTTTTTTATAGTTATAAAACTGACATCCGGAGCTTAACGGAGCAGTTATAACAATCTTGCCGCTAATGACTTCGATACAGTTAGGAAAATTTCAAGTGTTCCAAACCTCCTCTGCGATTCTTAGCCATTGTTCTTTTGTAGAGAGAGGCATTGTTTCCTTTGTCATTTGTTCTATTATTGCACTGCAAACCTCTTTCACTATCTTGTGCACGGTGCTTACTCCTAGTCTATAACTAAACGCTGTAGAAGCGAAGGAGACCCCAGTAGCCAAAAATATGCAAAGAAAAATATTATAATATTATCAACTTGTTTCCTTGTTGAAGGAACAGAATATAAAAAGGCATAGGTACTGCTTCGATATACCTTCGAACGGTCTATTAAGAAGAGAAAAGATACTAAAAGTGGGCAGGGTTAGTATTCCTGACAAAAAATGGAAGTATGAAGATGAAATGTCTTTTTTGTTACCGTACATGAAAAAAAGACTGACTATATGTCCAATTGCAACAAAATCAGCTTTTGATGACAACAACGCTAACAAACCAGGGAGTATTGGTCAGTCACAGCAACAAACGACTGACACAACGCCATCTACATCTGAGGTTAGTCAACAAATGGCTGGTACATTGCTAACTTCACCATCACCAGCTATGGCTGCAGGGTCCGATCTAAGGGAAGCAAGCCGGACATTTGCCCAGAGCGGCAAAAAATGAGGGGGCATCCACCACTCAAGTTAACAGGTGGAGAATTTTATGTGCCACCTTCCAGTGGAAATATTTAACTTGGATAGTGGAAATATTTAAGCATTTTACTTAACTGAATTATTTCAGTTAAAAAAAAGGAAGAAGTAGGAATCCGCATAAAGTACAGAGTAGAATCGAATTTACATTCCAATATTTTTGAGGTATCAATACGTTTATAAGTACTTGATACTTTTTACAAAATTTGAGTCTTATCAATTAGATTTGGGTCGTAGGAGTAGGGGATTTCCATTCTATAGACAATAGCTTATGTTTAGAGTATGTGTTACCAGTTTCTTGTGATCGGTTTATTTTTATGAATTAAGTAAAACATTATATAATGCAGTTTAATCCTGATTTACTTTTTTACTGTTGTTCTAATTTATTTTTGTACTGACAATTTAATGCGTCGAAATTAAAATTTAGTTAGTTTGATACCATTTCTGTCTCATTGGTGATAAGTTCAAAAATCCAAGTTCCGAAATTTCTCGGTTAATATTTGATATCACGGATATTACTCAATCAGAAGGTTTGGAAATAAATTGAAAAGTACTCGGTACCTAACAGTATCGATACTTTTGTTTCGATAATTTTCTCGGTATCGGTAAATCTATTAGTATATATTAGTAATATCTATTAGTATCTAATATGATACTGATATCGAGTAAAGTATCGATAGTTTTGAAATTATGAGTTTGCAGAAAATAAGGAACCAACTAGACTAGAACTTCGAAACTAGAATACAAAAATAATTCATCAGAATTTTTTGCTGATTTTACATTTCTGAGCTGGCAACCCTATCAATCTATTTATGTTTGACGGAGATTTCCGTCAAACTTTCAGAAGAATACCCTTTAGCTACATTCGTACAACGCGACATTTAAGGACGCGTTTGCAAATCAACCAAAATTAGGGTGTTTTTCGGTAGATTTTGTGACAAAACTAAACCAAATCAAATATAAGTAAAAACTACCATGTATAGATTGGTTCTTCATCTGCAAATGTCTGTAACTCTTTTGTTGAAAATAGTAGTTTTTTATATTGTAAAAACGAACTTTCGTTGCCATTTTCTACAAAATTAACGATACCGGCTTGTGTTTCGGTACATGTTTTGGTCTATTATCAACATATTTAAAAAATTTAAAAAATACTATAAGATGACAGACATATTCAATTAAAAAACCCTGGGTTTATTTTTTAACAAAATGTCACAAATAGTCGTAAAAAAAATAAAAACTGATGCACATTTTTTCACATATTTTGGTAATATGGATGAATCATAATGTATTGCAATAAGGGCTATTTTATTGTTGGTGCCTGCTTTGATTTATTGTACAAAGATTTCGATGAAACCACAGTCCGCGCTCGGCCGCCGTCGTGAGTGGACACTGTATCGCCTGTTTGCAGCGGCTCATTCTGAAAAGATCGCTGTACATACACAAAATATTAGAAAAAAACAAATTGGAAACATAGGTACTTGACAAGTGATAAAATTATTATTTTTATACTCACAGTTTTTATTTAGCTAAAAATAAATAGGATATATAAACTTACCTACTACTGCAACTCGTGGACGAGCGGAACTAGGTGTGCCGAGTTTGGGCTCGTTTTGTTGGTTATGATGAGACCTTACCTCTGGACTTGATGGCATGACCTGAAGGTGTACTTTCGTGACCGCTATTTGAACTTCTTGCAGAGTAAAACTAGGGGTGACGAATTTGGGCTCCGTTTTGTTAGTTATGACGAGTCTATACCTCTGGACTTGATGGAGTGACCTGAAGGTCTAAATCGGTGATTGCAACTGGAACTCCTAGACTGGTAGAACTAGGTGTGCCGAGTTTGGGTTCGTTTTGTTAGTTACGATGAGACCTTACCACCGGACTTCATAGAGTGACCTGAAGGGGTAATTCAGTAACTACTGCTGGAATTTCTGAACGAGTAGAACTAGGTGTGCCGAATTTGGGCTTCGTTTTGTTAGTTATGACGAGTCCATACCTCCGGACTTGATGGAGTGACCTGAAGGTGTAGTTCAGTGATTACAAGTGGAACTCCTAGACTTGTAGAACTAGGTGTGCCGAGTTTGGGTTCGTTTTGTTAGTTACGATGAGACCTTACCACCGGACTTGATTGAGTGACCTGAAGGTGTAATCAGGTGGTTACAAATGGAATTCCTAGACTAGTAGAACTAAGTGTGACGAGTTTGGTTTCGTTTTGTTAGTTACGATAAGACCTTACCACCGGACTTGATGGAGTGAAATTCGGCACACCTAGTTCTACTGGTTCAGAAATTCCAGCAGTAGTTACTGAATTACCCCTTCAGGTCACTCCATCAAGTCTGGTGGTAAGGTCTCATCATAACTAACAAAACGAACCCAAACTCGGCACACATAGTCCTACAAGTCTAGAAGTTCCACTTGTAATCACCGAACTATACCTTCAGGTCACTCCATCATGTCCGGTGGTAAGGTCTCATCATAACCTACAAAACGAACCCAAACTCGGCACACCTAGTTCCACCAGTCTAGGAGTTCCAGTTGCAATCACCGATTTACACCTTCAGGTCACTCCATCAAGTCCGGAGGTATGGACTCGTCATAACTAACAAAACGGAGCCCAAATTCGGCACACCTAGTTCTACTCGTTCAGAAATTCCAGCAGTAGTTACTGAATTACCCCTTCAGGTCACTCCATCAAGTCTGGTGGTAAGGTCTCATCATAACTAATAAAACGAACCCAAACTCGGCACACCTAGTTCTACTAGTCTAGAAGTTCCACTTGTAATCACCGAATTACACCTTCAGGTCACTCCATCAAGTCCGGTGGTAAGGTTTCATCATAACCAACAAAACGAACCCAAACTCGGCACACCTAGTTCCACTAGTCTAGGAGTCCCTATATTTGTAATCACCAAATTACACCTTCAGGTCACTCCATCAAGTCCGCAGGTAGGTAAGGTCTTATTATAACTGACAAAACCAGTTCAAAGTCCAGAGCTAACATCTCACTACCAGTAGAGGGCTTCCAGTGCCAAGCAGTCTTTGGAGCAGGTATTCATATTTCGTATCGAAGTATATTTCTGAGGTAGGTATAGGAAATGAAAAACAAATTCAATCTTTCAAATTATCAAAATAATTTCTATTTGACTACGATTCCCACAGCCAACCGTGCGTACACTAGTGTGTGTGTGACTTTTGTCAATGTAGTAGTGCGATTTTATACCTATCCATTTTGTAAACGCGTCCTTAAGGGAAATCCCTTAAATATCATATATAAGCAAAAGATTGTACCATTTTTCCGTTGCTTAATTAGAAGACTCCTAGTAAAAATGTTCTGCCCTAGAGACAAATGAGACGGGCGAATTTGGGCCTAACGTTACACAAGTGAAATATTTATGAATATTTGTTTTTAGTTTTTTTTTTGTAGTTAATAATGAAATATTAAGCAGTTTTATCATAGCATAAGAAATTAAATGTTCAATAAAAACAATACTGACTTCTCTTATATTCATTTTTAAACAATGCTGCCAGATAAAATAGGTTAGTTTATCGATTTTAATAGAAAAAATAGAAAAAAAGACAATAAAAAGTGATACATTGTTTTCTTCTTTAGATAAGTTTAAAAAACTTATTATTTAAATAATACTTTCCTCGTGACATTTAAACGTTTTAAAAAATATCGTAAAAATTAATTGACTAAATAGATTAATAAATCGATTTCGCAATCGATTATCAATGTTTTATACAGGCCACAAAGCGGAACTCATGTCAACTTTAATTCAAAAACTCAAACGTCTATCAAATCATTTGCTTCGATCGTTTGGCTCTGAGCCTGCGGTGGTAGTGAATATTTTCTGTTGTTTTCGTTTGCTGTAATAATATTCTGATTTTTAACGACCCTGGCTACGTATAAAGGATTCTTACGGTTTCTTTTCTAATTTTACAAGAATACATGTGCAAAATGATAACTTAAGTGATCTTCCCCAACATAGTAATTTAATAAAAATATCTTTAGGTATTCATCAAATAAAGTAGGCTAGTCGAATAAAATCGAGATATGTCAGCCCAAAAACATATTTTACATATATTTTAGTTGACAGTTCTCTTAATGGTATAGAGGCCATCAAACAGTATTATTGTGATTACTAGGTAGGTAGGAAAAAGAACCAACTTTAAGTTGCTGTTGTCATGTAATGTCCATAAAGACTGATTTACACTTCGACAAGTACAGTAGCGAGTTAACTTGCGAAACTGGCCAGTTAAGTTTGAACATCGTTTGAATGGTAATAAGGGAGTTAAGTTGCAAGTTAACGATTAAGTTGAACGAGATAGCCGGCCGAGCTATTTGTCGGCGAGGTAAGTGCGAAGTGCTGCCCTCCCGCGCATCTCCCGCCATACGCAACTAAACTCGCCGTTCTTGTAAACGAGCGAGTTTATTTTAGCACATAAGTTGACAGGACGCAACGTTTGCGAGTCAAAACCTACAATTGTACTTTTATAATGAAACTCGCCACAAAGTTTTTGCGATACTGTTTATTGAATATTTATACGTTTTATATTGAGTTTTAATAATAAAATGGACGGAAGATATCACGTATAAATTCGTTTTAAACACGAATTTTTATATAATAATAGGAGTTCAAATTGTAAAATTAAACCTTCTCGGGATGCAGCACTGATAAAAATTCTTAAAAACTTCTTTAAAATCAACCATTAAAACTTCTCTGACTGGATCATTTAATTCTTGACGTAATCCTAGAACCATCTTAAACGAAAACCGGAAAAATTCTTTAGTCTTGTAACGTCATATTCAAACGAACTCTATGAACTAATGTCCTTAACTGAACTCGCCACGAAGACATTGTTTGAACGCTACTGCCCACTTAACCGTTTACTGTCAACTGCCCTGTAACTAAACTCGCTACTCTACTTGTCGAAATGTAAATCGGTCTTTATATGGTACCTAAGCTGGGCAAGGCATCTAGAAAATTTAATACCGCCTGCATCGTTTTAGATGATATTTGAATTGTTTATGCAATTAACATTAAAGAAATTTAAATATATGCAATTAACAATAAAAAATTAAAAATTCTACAATGTTAAAAGTAAACCGCAATTACTTGATATTAAGTATAATGAAAAAATTACTGCTACTGAATGTCTACCATGAAGTAGTCGCAAACATTTTAGTCTTTTAAAAATGGTATTAATATATGAATAAAATAATGCAATAATCGTTACTGTAACATCAGGCCCAGCTTTCTATGAACTTTCGCCCGTCTCTTTTTCGTCATATTCGAGAATAATTTAGCGGTTAATAAGTGATACAGAATTAAAATGTTTTATTTATTTATGTGAAATATATGCTAAGTCTATAAGTTGGTTCTATTCTTAAATTTAAAAGTGACATGTTTTTAGTGGGGCAAATTAATCATATAAATATTGAAGCGTGCATATGAATTTACTACGTAAGTATCTATCTGTTTTATAAAGTAAATTGTAGTAATATTGAACACACCTTGCTAAAAATTGTACTTACTTTTTGTTCCTTAAGGTTAATAGTAAAATATTTTTAGTGTCGATTTCACCATCTCCGGTTAGCTTATTCGTCATTTAAATTTTTAGTTTTTTGACAGTTGTTGTATGAGTTTGACAGTTCTTGTTTGACAAATAGGCTATTCTGGACTTTAATAACAGGTGGTGAAACTGGTCCTTAATTTAATATTGGCCGTAGGATATGTCAAAAATGTTTAAGTGGTGTGTAAATCGTGTAAAAATTAACATTGCTCCTCTTTTGACCTGTTAATTCTGTGACTGCTCACTACCAGTCCCCCCGTGGCTTCGTTCACGCACCCACCATAATTATTATTCTCGTTGGAATGAGTAACTTTTCCGATGTGAAAAGTAGCCTATGTCAATATTCTTTTCCAAACTTCAATTTATATATACATACCAAAATGTATCTGAACTAATTCATTGGTTTAATCGACAGAACGTATTTTTACCGTACATAATGGGAGATGGTAGATCACGCTTGTCGGGACACCAATATAAAAAACGAAGACTTGAAAAAGATGCAGAGCGACAAAAGCAAGCAGGGGCATTAGAGTCCTTTTTGAAAAAAGTTGAGCTAAACAAACCATCGTCAACCATACCAGAAACCGATGCTATAGCTGAGATTTCGCTTAAACCTCGATAAGAACATACGTCCGATTCCAATATAATCTGTGAAACTGGTGCTTCTATTTCTGGGTCAAGCACTATTGCAAGTGAATGTGCTATTGCAGGTGAAGCTGCTATTGTAGGTGAAGGTGTTATTGCAACTCCAAGTGTTTCTACAGAATCATTATCATGCCTTTTAGATTTTGACCCTGCCACGTGGCCCAATAGATTAACCGATGCAGAAAGAATATATTTGATAAATAGAGGTTCTCCAGATAGACTGTACGATTTTTAATTTCCACAAGATATCAATGGTCGGAGTTTTACTTCGAGATACTATAAGAGAAAGTATAATAACGGTGAAGGAATTTTGAAAGATTGGCTTGTATATTTTGTGGCAAAAAATTCGTTGTATTGCTTTTAATGTAAGATCTTTAATATAACTACAACTGCCGATCTATCTGAAAATGGCTACAAAAATTGTAAGCATGAAGGTGATATGCTTAAATCTCATGAGACATCACGAAACCATGTAAAAACTGTAAAATCTTGAATAGAACTTTCATAAAGGCTCAAATTGTCTCATGCGATAGATGCCGAATCACAGAGAATAATTAAATCATGGATAGAAAACTGGAATAGAGAATTGTTAGAAATTGCCACAATCATCAAAATATTAGCAAAAAATGGCTTGGCTTATCAAGGCACTTGTGATAATCTGTATCAACATAATAATGGTAGTTTTTTAAAACTAGTAGAGTTGTTATCCCATTATGTAGACATTTACGCAGTTTAAAAAAAAAGAGAAGAAACAAGCAACTTAAGTAAAACAATCCAAAATAAGTTCAATAATACAATTTTAGACCTCGAACCTCGAAGCTATTTTAACTCATGAGAACTCAAGCGTTATAAATGCATTGGAACTTTGTGAGGAGTTGTCAGTCCTTTGTATGTTTTGAAATAGTAATTTATCTCCTCAAAATATTTTAAAATTTGTAACAGATTTAAGATTTGACCCAAGTGCTCAGGATCCCTTTAACTTTACCAGTAATGGTTGCAAGAGGTGAAACAAGCTTTTCTAAATTAAAAATAAAAAATAATCGGCGATCCACCATGACACAGAATAGATTATCGGGATTGACTATGATTTCAATACAACACAAGTTTTGTGACAGTATAGCTTTATCAGATATTATTAAAGAGTTTGCAGAACAAAAAGTGCGAAAAAAAATTACTATAATTACGAGGTAGGATTTAATATTCTCCGAAAAACTGTTTAATTTACACAAATTCATTATTTTAAGAAATTACTGATTTGTTTTGTAGTAATATAATTGTTTTTTTTATCACTATTAAATTTTAGAACAAAATTTTTTCTGTGTTTTTTTTTATACGTACCGTATGAACCTCAACTTAAGCACATTTATGAACTATAATAATAAATATATAAACAGCTTGGTAGGACCATCTTTTTAACTTCTGAAACGATTTTGATGAAAAATGTTTATTGTGCCGTTAGTTAAAGGGTCATCATACATAGGCAAGATTAGCCAGAGACAAAGAAAAATAGCACAAAAGAAAAGAGGTCCATATGCAGCAGTGAGTCTCAATAGGTTGATGATGATGATTAAGTTGAAAGGTACATAACTATATCGATAAAAAGATATATCAAATCATTCAGTAGTTTCTATAAAATTCTTCGTATAGGTACTTCTTCAGAAGACCCAATAGACTGACGTGAATATTATAGGTAGGTATAATGCTAACAATATCACGTATTTTATGTAGGTACTTGTATACTTAACATTCCCCAACATAACTAGCTCATGACTTATATTGTTTTGTGTATATAAAGTGCGGCGAAAATTATCTTTGCCCGGAGCGGCTAAATAGCTAGATCAGACCCTGTACGACCGGAAACTACCCTCAGCCAAAACGTATTAAATGAGCTCAAAAATGAACTGAGGAAACACGTATCACAATATTACCGAAGTGTATAATAGACAATAAACTGAACTGAAGTAAATAATAAACAGTTTAGCTCGAACTATGTAAAAAATTATTTCAGATACAATGCAGGACTTCTCCCAAGGATATTTTTCATCAGATACAGACAAACTGACATGATGAATGATTCCACTATGATAAAAAAAGTTTATAATAAATCTGAGACATACTGCTAGTTTTTCTTTTGGTGACAAGGCTTAATTGAAAACTGTATCTTGTTTGGTTTTCAGCAGTTCTATTTTCTTAAGATAAAATGTCAAACTGATACCGAAAATATCTCAAAAATTTTTCTCCAACATCAATAAGTTCTTTAAACAGTGTCCAATATTCTCCTTCTAATTTTCTCTTCTTGATCATAGAATAAACGGACATGTGTTTTGCTCTTTTTTGTTTTATCCCGGTCTTCTTCTTTTAGTAACATTGCAATTATTGCTAAATCTTTCTCAATGACGCGCCTGAACATTTTCAGCAAAAAAACGTGCTTTTCATACTAAAGCTATTCAATAACTGCCAGTGAGGGCGGTCGAACCTGACGCCCAAGACGGTGTCTGTCGATGTCTGACATGATACACTTCTGCTATGCTATATGTAAAAAAAAACTGGCCAAGAGCGTGTTGTGCCACGCTCAGTGTAGGGTTCCGTAGTTTCCCGTCCGTCACAATAAGTGTTCCCACTTATGAGTTTAAAGGTGGGTATGCATTATGTTCGCGCTCCAGCAGCGCTCCGCGCTCCTGCAACTGCTCCCGGTAGTGGGTACGTGCGCGAACATGGAGCGCTTTCCATCCAAGTTCAAAATGATTTTCTTAGAAAGTCCTTATAAAGTTCTACTTTTCTGATTTTTTTTCATATTTTCTAAACTTATTGTTGAAAAGTTAGAGGGGGGGGGGAAATGATCTTAGTAAACCCCCTATTCATTTTTAAATACCTTTCCAACAATATATCACACGTTAGGGTTGAAATTAAAAAAAAATCACTTCCCACTTTACATATAGGGGGGCTACCCTAATAAAACATTTTTTCCAATTTTTATTTTACCACTTTGTCGACGTGATTGATACACATATTGGTACCAAATTTCAGCTTTCTAGTACTAACGGTCACAGAGATTTAGCGAGGACGGACAGACGGACAGACAGACATGGCGAAACTATAAGGGTTCCTAGTAGACTACGGAACCCTAAAAACGGTGCCAGTGGGTGTCTGCCACGACACTTGTTTGTAATGCATAGTCTGTAGATATAAACGTTTCTTTCTAGCATACAATGATTTTGTATCTATGGAATGTAAAAAATTTTGTGAATAAAATACGCAGCATGCTAGACTGTACGGTTGAAGTCATTTGCCGTAGTAGGCAAATAGAATATATATATATATGTATTATTGCCACAATGACGGTACTACGTAGTTGAATAAAAAGCTTACTAGATATTACCAGTGTCGGTGAGGTCTTATCCCATTTAGACCGATAATTATTTTTGTGAAAAATTCATGTTTCATTAACAAAACCTGATCCAAGAAAGCCTAAAAACCGGGGGAAAAATATTTAAAAAAAAATTAATAAGAGGGGGGGCGACTGAAGGGACGTACCACATATGGTACAGTAGGACTATATGTATGCAAAAAAAGACATGTTTTACTAATTAGATTTTATTTACTTTTTGGTGTGATACATAATAAAGCACTCTACGTGGACACCGATATTGCACTTGACACATCTTGTAGGACATTGTTTGTGGCATAGGCCACACCTGGTCCTCTTTTCCTGCTTGCTGACATAGTGTTCTTTGCCGTCGTATCGAGAGTCTGATGTTATTGAAGATGGCCGACTAGGACCTGGCCTTTCGCGTTGTTTATTACAATCGATAATATAGTTTGCAATACGACGTCGAAAGTTTAGCAAGTCGATATTCCCTCCATTATGTCTGTACAGCAGCCATGCATTTTGTACAGACATGTCTATACAATGGAGAATCAGAGGCATATACCACTTTTTTCCTCGAATGCTAGTTCGCAATGACGATATATTCTGATCTGATAAATCTACTCCACCCATATTTTTATTGTATTGTTGAATGAGATGAGGTTGAGAAACAGATATTTTCTTTTTTAGTTGCTGAGAATAGCGTTCAGTTTTGTGGACAGGATCAACACCAACTGCATTAGAGCATACTGACACTATACTATTGTCATGCCACTTGCAAATTATAATATCATCAGATATGCGATAATCATAAAAGCCTCTTTCTTTTGTCTTTGCTTCTTTGTTACTTAATAGAGGGCACTTTCCAGATCTATTTTCTCTGATAGTACCAGTTACACGAAATCCCCTCTCAGTAAGTTCATGAACCAAAGGCAAACCGGTAAAAAAGTTATCTATGAAGAGATGGTAGTTTTTTCCATAGCCTAATGTTGCTAGTTGATCTGCATAAGACAAAACCACACTTGCACCAAGACCAAGCTGGGAATATTGGGCATTCGTAAATGTAGAAGCACCTTGGTATGGTTCAAACCATGCAATGTAACCTCCTGATGTTGCACCAACCCATAATTTGTATCCATATCTTATAGGCTTGCCTCTAATAAACTGTTTGCAGCCGTGATGACCAAAATATGGGACCATAGCCTCATCAACACTATGATTCTCCTTATGTGGACAGTGCTCAAGAAACCTCATAGTTAAAACTTTTAATAAAGGACGAACTTTTGCAAATTTATCGGATGTATCTAAATTAGATTATCAGCAACATGAATATTAGAGTAAATTAGTGTAAATCTATCTCGAGACAAGGCTGAAGCAATCAAACTATTTCTTGAGTCAGATGCATTTTCCCAGTACATTCTTCTTCTGCTCACTTGGCAGTAGCCACTGACTAACAAAATCCCTACCAAACATTTCATCTCTTCAATCTTGACGTCAGCAGAGAGAAGCTTACGTGCTAAGTATCTATTGGTTTCAATAGTAAGCATCTCAAATACTTCTTCTGAAAATAATAAAGAAAACCATTCTATCGGGCTTCTTTCAATAGGAGTATGATAAAGGGGTTTCCAAACAATAGGTCTTAGCTGCAAGTCTCGTTTTCGCCAATTGTAATTCATGACACGTTTTTTTAAAGGTTCTTGAAATTCGGGAGGGGTTTGGTCCTCAGTTTCTGGTTTTTCCATTGAGGTTGAGGCAGCAAGCTCCGCTGGAGCTCGAAGCAAACTTCCAGGCAAATTATTTATGCTGACGTTATCTTCTTCACCCGAGTCCTCGTCAGTTTGGTAATCATTGGCGGTGTCAGGTGGAAGTAAAAAAATATCAAAATCTTGTCTCTGGTTGCTAAAATCATCATCTTCCTCAAGAACTGTAGCAATTTCATGTAATGTCAATGACCTAAAACAATAAAACACAAAAAGATAAATAAAAAGCTAATATAATAATATGTAAATTGACTTAGGTATTTTGTGCTCATACATAGACCTACTGTACCATATATGATACACCTAATCTAGCACTGTGTACACCTTACTAAAATGACCCAAGTGAAACTTATTTGTAGCTATTACGTCTATTGTAGCCTAGTATTTAAAATAATACCAACAAATAATATGATTTACTATAGATAACATGAAACTTACCTTCTTGAAGACATTGTAAATTGTTTTTTTCCGTTTCTGTCTAGCAATTTTAATATAAACTGATAATAACTCGCATAAAATGTGTATGTTATATTGTTGATATAAAACTAATACTCTGAGTTATCTGCCACAACTAACCAAAAAAGTTAATAATTTGTGGGTACATCAAAATATTTTTACAAAGTAACTGTACCACATAGGGTACGGTAGGCCTATATGGGTTAATTTATCGGATTAGACCAATGTGAATGGCCAATGGCTATCCTTAGCTTATAATACTAAGTGGGGACCGATTTCCGACGAAGCAGTACAATTACACTCCTAGCACTGAATATAAAGGGTAATGCAAAAATATAAATGAGTTTTGTTCTGTGTCGGGATAAATATTTTCCTGTTGACCTTTTTGGGTTTAAAAAGTGCTCTAAGGTTGGATAATGTGGCCCATAACCACTCAGTTCACTCCCCAATTGAGCCTTTGAAACTTTGAATATTAATTTCAACTACTAAAGCACCATGATAATATATTGTCGCAACATACGCGCACGACTTGACGTTTTATTTATTCATAATATAGAATACACTAAACGAAAAGAATAAACATAATAGATACCTGCAAATCCAAAGCCGCGTATGATTTCAGTTTCATGAAGCTCGAATCGATAGCCCATTGTAGTCGAAGGAACGATTCTCCTAAATTGTCTGAAATACGTTTTATTATATTATAGTACCCGGATGACCGGTTTTTTTTTAAGTTACATTTAGATACAAATTACATGAATAATATTTTTTGATCTTATTGACATAATAGAAAAAACTGATCTGGTTATTTGAATAAAAAATCATGAGTGCAATTAGTTTAATTCAAATTTTCGTATTTTTAAAAATACTAAAAAAAGGGCTCGAAATAATAGATTTTCTCACAAAAGAAGGAAACTTGAAAAAAAAAAGGAAAAAAAAGTCGGACCCAAGACGGGACGCGAACCAAGGCATTACGATTTTACGACCGCTCGATAGCCACTTGAGCTATTACGATCATTAACAAAGTGTCAAAATTTACCTTCTTATATTGTAGCAATTCCTTGGACACTAAATTTTATGAAAATCGTTTCAGCCGTTTCCGAGATTTCAATTATATATATATATATATATATATATATATATATATATATATATATATATATATATATATATATATATATATATATATATATATATATATATATATAAGAATTGCTCGTTTAAAGGTATAGGATATTTTGATTTTAATTAACAATTATGCCTTTAGACCAAAGTGTACAAACTTAATAATAATGCCAGTCTCCAAGGAAACTAGCCACCTGCACCAGACAAGGTTATAGTGCACTAGTGTATGTGCAATATTTATTCCCTCGCTCTCATAATCCGATGGAACGCAAGTCCGACACGACGGAAGAGAGATTAGGTGCAGGTTCAATGGCTTTTCGTGCTTTCCAAGACAAAAAAGGTAAATCACCACCGTCCGCCTGACTTATTTTGTTAGAGCCCATCTCAAGTCCAAAGATTTTTTTTACGTGGTAGAGCCATGCTGCAGTTATATTAGTAGTATAGTTGCAGCACGAATGGGTCGACTCGACCGGGTTAGGACCACGCTCTCACAAAATACCAGCGTCAAATAGTAGCTTAATGCTGCTGTGTTTCGTATGGTGATGCAAAGATCCGGAGACCCTTTTTACTGGAAACGAGGGTTAATAGTGGTAGAGCCACGCGGCAGCTTTGCTGTTGCACGTATGGGCCGGCTCAAACCGGGGTGATACCACGACCTCACAGAATACCGGCGTGAAGTGGAAGCTCTGCTTCCGCGTTTCGTCTGGTGAGTGCAGGTAGCCGGAGGCCCAAATGCCCCCCACCATCAACATGGTAGCGGAATTAAATAATGACAGACTACCCCTGGAGGGTACCAGCACCCCTGGAGAATCCCTCGCTGAGCATCCATGACCATGTTTCTCCACTTCTGAGCGTGGGTGCTCAGGCTGCCCCGCGTATTCTGGGGGGGGGGGGTAAAATTCCGCTCAAGACTACAACTGCTCGGGGCAAACGGAGCAACAAGACCAAGGCGACCCCTGCCACGCTGTCCATGAATTTCTGCAACATCAGGGGACTTCACTCTAACTTGAACGCCGTCCACTACCATCTCGAGACGGCGAGGCCGGCTCTGCTCTTTCTGACCGAGACGCAGGTGTCCTCTCCGGCTGATCTCTCGTGTCTCTCCTACCCGGGGTACAAACTGGAACACTCCTTTGTGCCGCGGCAGATGTGGAGGATCATGCACCGTCCCTGTTGGACCTTTTGCTGACCTCTCACCCGGACGGATATCAGATTTCCGTCGACGCCCCTTTAGGCTCCTCGGACCATTGTCTGGTCCGGAGTGTGGTGCCACTCACGCCGAAATCGCGGTTGCATTCTGCAGGCTGCCGCCGTGTTTGGCACTATAGGTCAGCCGATTGGGATGGGATGCGGTCTTTCTTTGCATCCTACCCTTGGGGGCGGGTTTGCTTCTCGCCGGATGATCCCAACGTTGATGCGGATTCAGTTGCTGATGTGGTACTTCAGGGTATGGAACTTTTTATTTCTTCCTCTGCGGTGCCCATTGGAGGCAAATCTCAGCCATGGTTTGGTCGCTCCTGTAAAATAGCATCATGCTATAAGCAGGAGTGCTATCAAGCCTGGGCTGATGCACCAGCGTCCCGGGATGTAAACACCAGTGCTCTAAAAAAGAAGTATAATTCCGCCTCTAGGTCCTTCAAAAGAGTCATTGCCAAGGCAAAGTCAGAGCACATAGGCAGAATTGGCGAGAAACTAGTTCGCCTTCCTTCTGGAACCCGTTCATTCTGGTCTCTCGCCAAGGCTGTCCAGGGGAATTTCTGTCAGCCATCTCTTCCATCTCTGCACAGGGAGGACGACTCACTAGCCCATACCGCAAAGGAGAAAGCCGATCTTCTAGGCTCTTTCTTTGCGTCTAACTCGACTCTCGATGACGGGGGGAGTACGCCGCCGACCATCCCGCGGTGTGAGTGCTCCATGCCGGAAGTGCACTTCACACAGCTCTCGGTTCGCAAAGCACTCCTCTCCCTGGACATCCACAAGTCGAGTGGGCCTGACGGAATCCCCCCAATTGTGCTGAGGGCGTGTGCTCCAGAGTTGGCACCGGTTTTAACGCGTCTTTTCCGGTACTCCACCCTAGCCGTAGTCCCAAAATCATGGAAGACGGCTTACGTCCACCCGATCCCTAAAAAAGGCGACCGCTCTGACCCGTCCAGCTACCGGCCAATCGCCATCACCTCTTTGTTCTCCAAAACAATGGAGTCCATTGTAAACTGCCAGCTCATGAGGTACCTTGAAGATCACCAGCTGATTAGTGACCGCCAATACGGTTTTCGCCGTGGTCGGTCAGCTGGTGATCTTCTGGTCTACTAACTCACAGATGGGCGGAGGCAGTAGAGTTCAGGAGGGAGGCATTGGCCGTTAGTTTGGACATTGCGAAGGCCTTCGATCGGGTTTGGCACAAAGCGCTTCTTTCGATGCTCCCTTCCTATGGGCTTCCCGAGAAATTATGCGATTGGATCACCAGCTTTCTTGCAGATCGGAGCATCAAGGTCGTTGTAGACGGTGCAAGGTCCGACTGCAAGCCTATTAATGCTGGTGGTCCCCAGGGCTGCGTGCTATCGCCAACGCTGTTTCTTCTGCATATCAATGATATGTTGCATACCCGTAACATTCATTGCTATGCAGATGGCAGCACTGGTGATGCTCTTTACACCGGCCGAGCCAATATTTCTCGGGAAAACGTCTCCGAGTTCCGGGACAGACTTGTGTCTGAAGTCGAGTCTTTGCTGAACAGAGTCTCGGATTGGGAACGACTAAATCTAGTCCAGTTTAACCCCCAGAAGACACAAGTTTGCGCGTTAACCGCTAAGCAGAATCCCTTTGTTTTATCCCCTCAGTTTCAAGGCACTCCCCTTGTTGCCTCAGCCAGTATCGGAATCCTCGGCGTCGACATATCGAGTAACGTGCAGTTTCGTGGTCACTTGGAAGAGAAGGCCAAATTGGCCTCTAAAAAGCTTGGCGTGCTCAGCAGAGCGGGACAGTATTTCATGCCGGCACACCGCCTGCAACTTTACAAGGCGCAGGTTCATCCGCACATGGAATACTGTTCCCATCTCTAGGCTGGGGCTCCCCAGTACCAGCTCCTTCCACTTAACCGCATCCAGCGCAGAGCGGCTCGAATCGTCGACGACCGAGTGCTTTCGGATCGGCTCGATTCACTGGCGCTGCGAAGAGATGTTGCATCTCTTTGCGTATTTTGTCGCATCTATCACGGGGAGTGCTCTGAGGAAATGTTCGGATTAATCCCAGCCGCTAAATTTCGTGAACGCACTACACGGCAAACGTCCCGATACCATCCACACCATCTGGATGCTTGGCGGTCCACCACTGTACGTTTCACAAGGAGTTTTCTTCCACGTACAACCTCTCTGTGGAATAGTTTACCACCGGCGATTTTCCGGACCGATACGTCCTGGGACTCGGGCTTTCAAGAAAAGAGCTTACTCCTTTCTAAAGGGCCGGCAACGCACCCGCAATTCTTCTGGTGTTGCGGTTGATCATGGGCGGCGGTAGTCACTTAACATCAGGTGAGCCGCATGCTCGTTCGCCCCTTCTTCTATAAAAAAAAAATTCCATCCCTACCATATACCATAAATCCTCACGGGTGACAACGCATCTGCATTTTGATTCGTAATCGAGGACAGATGTAAATGTCTATAGGCCACAGCAATCACTTACCATCAGGTGGACTGTGTGCTTGTTTGTCACCCTATCCTATAAAAAGAAACTGAGCTCCCTCTCCTTAGAAATGCCACATGGTCTTGAGCCACCTACATTTATTGGGTTTAATAAATTTAATTTTATTAAGGACGTGGTTACATTTTTGACGTGCCCGAATTTATATATTCGAACTGCAAGTTAACGCACGCAT